GGCGTCCTATATAAAGTGGAGGAAAATGGGCACGGATGTTAGCCCAGGGCCAATCTTCCTCAGCAAAAAGAGGAGGATTGGCAACAGATGTTAGCTCAGGACTGATCTTCCTCACAAAAGAAAAAAGAAAAGGTCGAATCTTCCCTCCCCCAGCTCTTTTCTGTTCCCTTTTACTTTTCTCATATGCATCACTTCACACCTCACTGACTCCACACTGGCATACCTTATGATTTCCTTATTTTTATTTTTTGGTGGGGAAGATTGGCTCTGAGCTAGCATCTGTGCCCATCTTTCTCCATTTTGTATGTGGAAGGCCGCCACAGCATGGCTTGCTGAGCACTGTGATGATCTGCGCCTGGGATTCAAACCTGCAAACCCTGGGCCACCCACAGCATAGTGCACGAACTTAACCACTACGCCACCGGGCCAGCCCTGGTTTCATTATTGACTTTGTCTGTTTCCCCTCGCTAGAATATAAACTATAGGAGGACAGGAATTTTCCTTTTCTGCTTTGCTTCTCCCCAGCTCCTCAAAGGGGGCTTGGCACATAGCAAGTTCAGTACTTGCTGAATGAGTTGGGTTTTTCCCCCACCTCTCTTTCCCCCCTATCTCCCCTGGGACCCACCTCCTCTCTCTGCCTTCAGTCACTTCCTTCTGCATGACCACTCTTTTTGCCCTGCTCCCTCGCCTTGGCTCTGGGTTCAGTCTCCTCTTTCTCCCCTCCCACAGGTCATGGCTGATCTCCGAGGGCTACGCCGCAGGCCCAGGAGACATCTCTCCTGACTGGTCCCCTGAGCGATGTCCGCAGCCACCGCCACCACCGGAACCGGCTGAGCCAGCCAGCCCGGCCCCAGGCCCGACCTTGCTGCGGACACCTCGCACAGTGCGCACGGTGCGCACGCCGGGCCGCAGCCCTGGCGCTGCTGAGGAACCTTGGGGCCACGAGGGGCCAGCGCTGCTACTGCTGTCGCGCTTCTCCCAGGCTCCCGACCCCAGCGGGGCGCTGGTGACTGGCCCGGCCCTGTGCGGCTTGCTGGCCTACGTGACGGGTGCGCCGGGCCCACCGAGCCCGCGTGCACTGCGCATCCTGGCACGCCTCACATGCAACCCAGCCTGTCTTGAGGCCTTTGTGCGCAGCTATGGCGCAGCGCTCCTGCGGGCCTGGCTCGTCCTCGGCGTCGCCCCGGACGACTGGCCCTCGCTGGGTACCCGGCCTGATCGCAGCAGCCAGCACCGCGAGCTGGGTGTGTCCCCGTGCCTCTCCGCCTGCATGCGAGGCCCCATCCCCCTCTGATGCCTCCCGTGGGCCCAGAATGTGGGCACACAGCTTACTGCCACCTGCTCTCTCACTGCCCTCCCCCGCCCACCATCCAGGCAACCTCAGCCACCAGGTGGGAGGAGAGGAGGGACTCCCTTATGCTCCACCATCCAAGCGTGCAGAGTTCTCCTCCATCCCTTGCCCGAGCCTTGGGGCCCAGATACCCCCGACACCAGGCCCCAACAACTTAGAATTGTGCCTGTCTGCATTTCCTTACCCAATCGATTCTTGGTTCTGCATTGTCCTACTTCCCCACTGGGCACACTGACTTGTGAACCCACGCTCAGGTACCATGTCCTCCAGGGCCTTACCACCACTTCCAACACTGCTAGGGGCTACCCTGTTTTCTGTGCCCCGTTTCAGTCCTTGAAGGCCCAGATTCACTCCCTCACCATCCCACTTCCTGTTCTTGCCCTTGCCCTCCAGTTCCTAGCATCTGGACCCCATCCCTCCAGGGCCCGCAGTCAGCCCCCTCTTCCATGCCCTGAGGTTTTACCCTCCTTCCTTTCAGGGTCCCAGAGGCCTGTCTTGCCCGTCTCACCCCAGTCTTGGATACTAGCTCCCAACCTGACCTGTCTGCCCATCCCTGCAGGTGAGATGCTGCTGCAGAACCTGACCGTGCAGGCCGAATCGCCCTTTGGAGTGGGTGCCCTCACTCACTTGCTGCTCTCTGGGAGCCCTGAGGACCGTGTGGCCTGTGCACTGACCCTGCCCTTCATCTGTCGGTGAGCGGGATGTGGGTGTCTTGCAGGGGTCAAGGGAGCAAGGTTGCTGGTTCCCAGTCCCACCCTTTTCCACCTTCTGAAAGATTCTCTTTCTCCCCAAAGGAAGCCCTCTCTGTGGCGCCGGCTGCTTCTGGACCAGGGTGGTCTCCGTCTCCTCCTCTCAGCACTAACTCGGCCAGCTCCGCATCCACTCTTCCTCTTCTTTGCCGCAGACTCCCTTTCCTGCCTCCAAGGCCTGGTGTCTCCCACTGTGAGCCCAGCCCTCCCGCCTGCAGGCCCCATGGACCTAGACCCACCCTCCCCTTGCCTCTATGAACCTTTGCTGGGCCCAGCCCCCATCCCAGCTCCTGACCTGCACTTCCTACTGGACTCAGGCCTACGGCTCCCTGCCCAGCGAGCAGCCTCGGCTACTGCCTCCCCTTTCTTCCGGGCCCTGCTGGCTGGCAGCTTTGCCGAGGCCCAGATGGACCTCGTCCCACTTCGAGGCCTGTCACCCAGCGCAGCCTGGCCTATCCTGCATCACTTGCATGGCTGCCGGGGCTGTGGAGCTGCCCTGGGGCCCGTTCCCCCGCCAGGCCAGCCCCTGCTGGGCTCAGAGGCTGAGGAGGCACTGGAGGCTGCTGGCCGTTTCCTATTGCCTGGGCTGGAGGAGGAGCTGGAAGAGGCTGTGGGCCGTATCCACCTAGGACCCCAGGGTGGCCCAGAGTCAGTGGGTGAGGTGTTTCGCCTGGGCCGGCCCCGGCTGGCTGCCCACTGTGCCCGCTGGACACTGGGACCAGGACAGTGCCCTCGGAAGAGGGCCCTGGCCCTAGTGGGGCTTGTGGAGGCAGCAGGTGAGGAGGCAGGGCCCCTGACTGAGGCTTTACTGGCTGTGGTGATGGGGGTTGAACTGGGGGCAAGGGTCCCAGCCTAGGCTGTTGATGTTCACTGGGAGGGAACCCAAGGATGAGCTGGCTATGAAGGAGGCCTCCCTCAGAACAGCATGGGAGAAGGCTGAACAGAAGGAGTCACCATCGAGGACTGATGAGAGGATGGAATTAGACTCCAGGATGATGGTCTGAAGACTCAGGATGATGTGAGAAGCCAAAGCCAGAGTCTGGGCCCACGAGATGGAGAATAGCCCAGGGCTCCAGGCACCTGGCCTGGCCCAGCCTTCTGGAGTTGGAATTAAAAACTTTGGAGTTGGATATCCCTATTGTGTGGTGTCTGCTTACTCTCCTGTGGAAGTCCCCCCACCCCTTCACACATCAAGCAGGTCTTGTCCAGGTCTATGTGTCTCAATACAGGCCACTCTTGGCATGTAGGAGTTTAATAAGTAATTATGTAGTGGTTCCTGGAGCCCTAGGATAGAGTGGAGTTCTCAGGCTTCTCCCTAGGATGTGGTTTTGGGCCCCAGGGGAAGCCTGCTTCCTGCTCGCAGGACTTCATTGCTCACCCAGCCACCCAGCTGGACACATAAACGTTGGTCAGGGCTGAGTGAGTGTCCTGAGGGAATGCTGTGAGTGTGGAGATGTATGTCCAGGGCCTTGGCATTACTGTTTTATGAGTGCCCTTCACCCAACTTGGGCCTTCAGTCTCTGGGTCTGTTTTCATCTCTTGGGCCAAGTGTCCTCCTGCTGTTTTCCTGAGGGAAGACCTGCTGTGTTCCTGGAGTCCCTGAGGCCCATCTTAGTCATGCCCAGAGAGAGCCAAAGCCCTGGGCTGGCATTCAGGTGAGGGGAGGGTTCATGTTGCTTTGGTCTCCAAGGCAGGGTCTCCATCACCTGGCTCTCGGATCACTGACCACTCAGGTGGCAGGCTGAGGAGAGTGTCTGGACTGGGCCTGCCAGTTAGCTTCTGGGGAGCTAAGTTTGATACTTGTCTCTGTGCCTTTGTGAGTGTTTGTCCAGCTCTCTGTTCTTAGGTTGTGCATTAGAACCACCCAGAGAGCTTTTAAGAAAAAAACTGTTTCCTGGGCCCTTTCTGATTGAATTGGACTGAGGGGGGGTGGTGCCCAGCATCAGTATTTTTAAAAAGCTCTCCAGATTGTTCTGATTTGCTGCTGGGTTGAGACCCCCATTCCAGTACTCAGGTCTGGGTTGAGACCCACAGTCCAGGGGCTGCGGCACTATTGTGTCTGTCCATACCCATCTCTAGAGTGTCTCAGTCCAGGGAAGGCCTCTTGTTCCTGTGTGTCTGGAGTCTGTGTCTTGCTTCTTTGTGTTCATCAGTATCTTGAGAAAGGGCTCTTTTGGAATGGGTCTGGGTTGCCTTAGTGTTGGGGGAAGGGCTTTGTCTTGAAGGCTGGTTGGGATCTGGCTGCCTGGGAGTGTTTTCCCTGAGTCTGCATAGGGTTTTGGTTTACCTGTGTCTGTTTCCAAGTCTTGGAGAGAAGCTCCTGGCTTAGAGTTTGTGAGAGGGTTCATTGTGTCTATCTCAGTCTCAGAGATTTCTTTATGTCTAGTATGTGTGTTTTTTGGGATCCCTGTTCACGTCTGTCAGGGTCTCTAAGGGAAGGTCTCTGAACCTGGGATCTGACCCTTAGAACATCACTCCTGCCTCCAACCCAAAAATTCCGCCTGTAGCAAGTCTCTCAGGACCGGCCTGGGTGGGAGGAGGGCTCTGTTTAGGACTCAGGGTGCTAGATTTGGGAGGTGTCTGCTTGGGGGCCTGAGAGGTGTCTAAGAGTCTCACTGGACAGAGGATCCCGGGCTTGGTCTGGAAGAGCCACTTCTCTGACTCTGGCTCTGGCTGCCTGGGGCTCCTTACAGCTGAGGCCAGGGCTGGGGTGTGGCCGCCTCCGCGGCAGGCAGGCAGGCTGGGCCGTGGCCTTCCCTCCTTACACGCCCCCACCCCGGGTTCTCCCGTTCATTCCCCCCTGGCCCCCCCAGCCCCATCCCAGCGGGTCCCGGCTTCCTTACATGGTCACGGCCGGGCCTCCAGCTCCCGGACGTCCCCCCGCCCCCCGCCCCCACCGGACACGGCCCCCGCCCTGCTCGCCCCGCGCGGTCCGCCCGCGCCCTGCCATGGAGGACCTGGGTGAGTGGGTCCCGGGTCCCCTAGTCCCCAGACCCCCACTACCGCCTGGACCCGCTTCCCCATCCTGGAGCCCGCTCGCACTCTCCGCATCTCCCCATCCCTGCCTCCTGTCTCCTCGCTTCTGGTCTCTGCCCGTGCCTCCTTTCCGACTCCACGTCCCCCTTCCTGCCTCTCCCTTCCTGCCTCTCCCGGGCCGGCCGCTCCCTCCCTTCTTCCCTCACTCCGCTCCTCCATCACTGGCTGCAGACGGATGGGCAGGGAGGTGCAGCGCCTGTGGGCCCCTGGGCTCACGGGCTCTGGGAAGGGAGGGGTTAAAGAGGCCTTGGGTCCGAGCCTGGGAAAGTAGACGGGACGGGGAGAATGTGACATCAAGTTCTGGAGGAGAAAACGAGCCTGCCCCAGGGTTTTGGGGAGGAGTTCAAGGCCCCTAAGTATGGTAGGGGTCAGGTCTTTGGGGCAGAAAGGGAATAATAGGTGAGGAGTGTCAAGATGCCGGGGAGAGGTTAAGGGTTCCACTGTGGTGCTGAGAGATGAAGAGTAAAGCGGCAGGGACTTCCAGGTTCTGGAAGGCACAGGGTTCAAAGGATCCAGATCTGGGGATGGGGCGGCTGTCTTTGGGCCGGAAGGAGGATCCAGGCATCACATCCTCCCTGTGCATTGCAATTGGGCCTGGAAGGCTGTGCCCTCCATGGGACAGAAGGGGTTCCAGCACCCTGCAGTAGGGGGTGCTGCTCAGTAGGGGTAATCGGCACTGGTGCTGTGAAGAATAAGCCAATCAAAAAGCAGGTCCCAGCAGACTCACCAATGAGGTGCAGAGGGTGGAACCCAGTGTGGCCTGGAGGTGGGCCAGGACTGGGCAGGGCCTATTTAGGTTGGGTGCCAGGCATACAGCCAACTGAGCAGTTTGGGGTGCAGCCAAAATTGGCTCTAGTAAAGAGCCAATTTTGACTGCATTAGGGAAGATTCGGATAATAAAAGAAACATGAGGCTGAGTTTGTGCGTGACTCCCAGGATGAGCCATGTGGGATGTTCTGTTCATAAATATTGGTTGCTGCACTTCCACTTCTCTGTCTTGGTCTGGCCTTGTGTTTCCTTCTGATTCTTGACCTCTGCTTTTAATTCTGGCTTTGGTCCTCCTCAAATACACCCACTTGGAACCCTTATCCTGCGATCTCTTAAGGCCCTGTCTCTGCCCTAACCTTGACCTCTCAGCCTTTCACCCTGACGGCCTCTCCCTGCAGATGCCCTGCTCTCTGACCTGGAGACCACCACCTCACACATGCCAAGGTCAGGGGCTACAAAAGAGAGGCCCTCAGAGCCCCTCACATCTTCCCTGCCCTATGGCCACCAGCCACAGGTGAGATCAGATGCTGAGGGTGGGGGCAACCATGAGGGCCAGGCTTGGCGAGGGCTAGGGGGATGTGGGCCTGAGTGGGGCAAAGTACAGGCCTATCATCCCACACATGTGTCCTTCTCTCTGTAGACGGGGTCTGGAGAGTCTTCAGGAGCCTCTGGGGACAAGGACCATCTGTACAGGTGAGGGGCCTGGGAATTGGGAATGGGGAAGCCAACTGAAACTCAGAGGAGGCTTGGATTCCCCACCCCTGAACCCAGGCTCCCACCCTGTTTCCCAGTACGGTGTGCAAGCCTCGGTCCCCGAAGCCTGCAGCCCCTGCGGCCCCTCCATTCTCCTCTTCCAGCGGTGTCTTGGGCACAGGGCTCTGTGAGCTAGACCGGTTGCTTCAGGAACTTAATGCTACTCAGTTCAACATCACAGGTACCAGGGTTACTGAGACATGCCTTGATGGGGTGGGGGCAGGGCAAGGCAGGGTGGAGACTAAGGGGTATAGACTTCCCAGAGTAGCAGCTAAAGGGACACAAAACTTAACTGGGAAGGTGGGTAGAGCATGGACCCGCGTCCAGTGCCCTTCTCTCCTCTCTGCAGATGAAATAATGTCTCAGTTCCCATCTAGCAAGGAGACTGCAGAGGAGCAGAAGGAGGACCAATCTGATGACAAGAAAAGGCCCAGCCTGTGAGTTTGGTATAGTTGGCAGGGCTGGGAGAGAGGTGATCCATCTTGGATGCCAGAGTTACTGGAGGGAGCATTACTCTAGGAGGCTCTGAGCTGACACAAGTTGTCTTCTACACAGCCCTCCCAGCCCATCCCCAGTTCTCCCAAAGCCTTCGGCCACCTCGGCCACCCTGGAGCTGGATAGACTGATGGCCTCACTCTCTGACTTCCGCGTCCAGAACCACGTGAGTCAGGCAGCAGGGTGGGCCTGTGTGGATTTTAGACCCTTCCACATCTGCTGCCTTGCTGATTCAATCTCATGTCCTCCCTGCTGCAGCTTCCAGCCTCTGGACCAGCCCAGCCAACAGTGCCGAGCTCCATGAATGAGGGCTCCCCATCCCCACCAGGGCCAACTAGCAAGGGCAGCCTAGACACCATGCTGGGGCTGCTGCAGTCCGACCTCAGCCGCCGTGGCGTTCCCACCCAGGCCAAGGGCCTGTGTGGCTCCTGCAATAAACCCATTGCTGGGCAAGTAAGTGGAGCCCTGTGAGTAGAGAGGTAGAGACTCATGGACCCATCTTTACTGAGAGCTAGTCTTTGTGCTGTTCCCTTTTAAAAATAACTCTGGGAAGAAGTTATTACTGTTATTTATATTTTATGGATGAGGAAACTGAAGCTCTGAGTTACACAGCAGGTAAGTGGCAGAGTGAGAATTCCAACCCAGTTCCCATTTATTGTGGTCCTACTGTGTGCAGGCAGTGTGCCAGCTCCTTTACAAACCCCCATCTCATTTAATCTTCACAGAAGCCTCACTGGCACACCCACCATCTCTCAGGCACCCCCAAAGACCGTTTCTCCTCCACCAGGGTCTGATCTGGGAGCTCTGGTTCTTGGCTTATTGACTGAGCAGATGTTATTGACAACTGTGCCCCGTGGTTGACCTAGATCCTCCTGCTAGATCAAGTGCCCTGCTCCCATCCCAGAATTTCCAACCTCATCAGAGCAGGGTGGCATTATGACTTTTGTAGGCTCTAGGCACTTTTTTTGCCTTCGTGGATCCCTTTCTCCATTAGAAAAAAAAATACTAAAAATTGTGTATTATGACTGGGTGGGTGTAAGGATGAATATATTATTATGTATTAAGTCATTTTCTTCTAGCTCATTTTTTTCTTCTGATTTTAAAAGAAATTACATTTTCTTGGGCTCCTAAAAGTATTGTGGGCCCTGGGCACTTACAGACTGACTTAAATATTAGATTCTTCATCCTGATGTCTCAGAGATAAGACTTGGGTGGGGAGGTGGGAGAAATGGATGAAGGGAGTCAAAAGGTAAAAAGAACAACAACAACAAAAGACTTGAAATGCACCACCTAAACATGGCAGCTCGAGGGCCACTCTGACCTGGGGCCTCACCCCCAACTCGCAGGTAGTGACAGCGCTGGGCCGTGCTTGGCACCCTGAGCACTTCGTTTGCGGTGGCTGTTCCATGGCCCTGGGAGGCAGCAGCTTCTTCGAGAAGGATGGAGCCCCCTTCTGCCCCGAGTGCTACTTTGAGCGCTTCTCCCCACGATGTGGCCTCTGCAATCAACCCATCCGACACGTGAGCCCCGCCCGGCCCACAAGCCCCACCTCTGTCTCACTGCGGGATGGCCCTCATCCACTCACAGCCCCCCATCGCTCCCCAGCCCTGCCCCTTGGCCTCTCCGTGGCCTTTTGGACTCCGCCCTCTCTCTTTGACTCCCAAGTTCCTTGTTAGGTCTCCGGCGCCTTAAACTCATACTTCAACCCACTCACCTAGGTTCAGGGCGGGAGAGGGAGGGAAGAAGCGATGGAGGGCCACACTGAGTGTCCCCTTTCATTCCCCGCAGAAGATGGTTACTGCCTTGGGCACCCACTGGCACCCGGAGCATTTCTGCTGCGTCAGTTGCGGGGAGCCCTTCGGAGACGAGGGTGAGAGCTTGAAAGCCGCCAGTCCACTCCACATCCCGCCCCGCCCACTTTGGCCCAGCCCGCTACGACCTCCAAGTCCTCGGGGCCGGGAATTTTCTCCTGCTTTCTTCTGGCCCCACCCTCTCCCACCCGTGGGTTCCCATCCCATCCTATCCCCTCCCGCTCTGCCCCTGCTCCAGACCCTGTCCCCCACTACCTACTGCTCGCTCTGACTGCCGCTCCTCTGGCCCCACAGACTCAGATCTTGTAGGTCCCCGGTAGGGCCTCGCACCCTTTTCTTTCTGCCCACTCGGTTCCCGCCCCTAGGTTTTCACGAGCGTGAGGGCCGCCCCTACTGCCGCCGGGACTTCCTGCAGCTGTTCGCCCCGCGCTGCCAGGGCTGCCAAGGCCCCATTCTGGATAACTACATCTCGGCGCTCAGCGCGCTCTGGCACCCAGACTGTTTCGTCTGCAGGGTGCGCTGCGGTGGGGGCGGAGCCTGGGAGGGATGGGTCAACGGGGGGCGGGACTAGGAGCCTGGGGCGGGGCGATTGTTCTGGGCGGGGCGATTATTCAGGGCAGGGCGCTCCTGGAGGCGAGGCTTCGCGTCTGGGTGGGGCTGCGGGGGTCGCAGTGGGTTATTCAGCTCGTACAGCGAGTTATCTGGTCCGGTCCGGGCTTTGGCCACTGACCCGTCCTTTCGCGGCCGACCTTCCCCAGGAATGCTTTGCGCCCTTCTCGGGAGGCAGCTTTTTCGAACACGAAGGCCGCCCGCTGTGCGAGAACCATTTCCACGCGCGGCGCGGTTCGCTGTGCGCCACGTGTGGCCTCCCGGTGACCGGCCGTTGCGTGTCGGCCCTGGGCCGCCGCTTCCACCCGGACCACTTCACCTGCACCTTTTGCCTGCGCCCGCTCACCAAGGGCTCCTTCCAGGAGCGCGCCGGCAAGCCCTACTGCCAGCCCTGCTTCCTCAAGCTCTTCGGCTGACCACGGTCCTCCGGGAGACCACGGCCCTAAAGACCCCGCCCTTCCCGAAAAGACCCTGTTCTCCAGACCCCTAGGCCTTGCTCTTTGAGCTTGGGGCTCTCCCCAGCCCAGCTGTGTGAGGCCCCACCCACTGGAGAGACCCGCCCCTAAGGTACTGTACGTTCTCCGTGGGCAAGTTCAGAAAAGGCCCGGCCAATCCCAAGGCCACGTGCCCCCAGAGTGGGTCGTACACTGACGAGCGACCCCGTGGAAGCTCTTCACTTTATTCCCACTCTTGAGGGAGCCCCCTGACTGGAGGAGGACCCTTGCAATTCCGACCAGTCAGAGGCCAGGCCAGGACGTCCCTCTCCCCACTCCCTCACTGTTCTGTGCACTTTTTTCTACCTACATAAACAACATTCCACGTCACAATGGTGCCGTGTCTCTGACTGCGCGGGAGAGCCTTGAGTCGGGACGCCGTGCCCCTTGTGCTGTCTCTGGCCTCAGTGGGATCTGGGCCACCTCTGTGTGCTCAGAGCCAGACCTGCAGCCTCAGCCCTTGCGGGATGTCCTTCATGTCAGATGAGCCTGAGGCTGGAAAGGGTGGCGACCAGCGCCAGACTGTACAGATAGTGGCGAGCCAGGAGCTCAAGCTGGGCACCATCGAACCTTCTTGCCTCGTCCCACACCCTTTGGATCTGGGCACTAAGGCACAGCTTCCTTCTTACTAGTATTGACTCATAACATCTCCCCTAGGCAGAGGATGACACTTGAGGTGGTTAGGGCAGTGACTGAGGGAAACACTGGTGCTGTAGGAGCCAGAAGGAGGCTTCTAACTCAGACTGGGAGGCTTTCTGGAGGAGGTGACACCTGAGCTAAGCCCTAGCAGAGAAGGGTGGGGCCAGGGGTTTTTAGGGTGTGGAGAAGTTCAGGCTCCATCTGAGTCCCCAAGCCCCAGGGGCCTTTCTGAGCCCCAGAACCTTCACCTCAGACCATGCAGTTCCCTAGGGAGGGGACCTGGATTCCTGGGTCCAAAATATATGAGCCTTTGAGGCTGGAAATGATGGAACCTCAGAGGCCCTTCCAGCTCATGGAGGAGCTAGCAGCCAAGGAGAGCATACGTGGGTAAGAGACAAAGGTGAGGTGTTCTCTGGGGGCCAGCACCGTGGCTTAGCAGTTAAGTGCGCGTGCTTCACTACCGGTGGCCCAGGTTCGGACCCCGGGCGCGCACCAACGTACCGCTTCTCCGGCCATGCTGAGGCGGCGTCCCACATACAGCAACTAGAAGGATGTGCAACTATGACAAACAACTATCTACTGGGGCTTTGGGGAAAAAAAGGAGGAGGATTGGCAATAGATGTTAGCTCAGAGCCAGTCTTCCTCAGCAAAAAGAGGAGGATTGGCATGGATGTTAGCTCAGAGCTGATCTTCCTCACACACACACACAAAAAAGGTGAGGTGTTCTCTGCCCTTGCCTCAGGCTGACTCCCAGAGCCTTTCCTCTCTGAGGCTCCTCCCCCTGGGTCTTCCCAGGCCTTCCGCTCTTCCCCTTCCTCGTATTCTCCCTGGGCAATGCTGTCCATCCCCTTGCTTGTAACCACCTCCCTGTCTTGAGGATGCCCAAATTGGCCATCTCCAATCTTGATTCATTCATTCACCAAGTGTTTCTTGAGCACATACTGTGCCAGGCTCCATGCCGGGTGCTGGGGAGACCATAGGGAACCAAGCAGACATGCTCCTTGCCCTCATGGAGCTGAAGTCTAGTAGGGGGGACAGATGACAAACAAGTACACAAGTGACAAGTGTGATGAAGTAATGGGGACTTCCCTGACGGCCCAGGGAAAGTTGTTCTTCCCCCTTGTTTCCACTCACAGTACCTCCCCTGTGTCTTTATAGCACTTGTCAGTATTGCAAACAGGGGTTTATTTGTTGCTTGTTTATGTCTGTTTCTGAACATGTTTGTTTTGCTGACCGATGTCTCTCCAGTGTCTAGAATGGTGTCTAGCAGGTGGCAGGTGCTTAATAACTGTTTGTTAATGAAGGAAGGAATGAGGAAGAAAGGAAAGGAGGGAAGGCGAGAAGGAAAAAAATAGAGTTAATAAGTTAGAGAAGGTGGGGAAGGAGTTACTTTAACGAGATAGTCAGAGAAGGCCTCTGGGAGAATGTAATATCTAAGCTGAGACTTGAAGGTAGAGAAAGAGCCAGCCAGGCAAAGAACCTGAGGAGAGCATTCCAGGCAGAGGGAACAGCAAATGCAAAGGCTAGGAAGTAGGAAAGAGCTTGGCATATTGGAAGAAAGGAAAGAAGGCCAGTGTGGCTGGATTAGAGCGAGCAAGAGGGAGAGTAGCAGGAGATGAGGTTGAAGAGGAAACAGATGCCACATCTTGAAGGGCTTTGCAGGCCACAGTGGGGGCCTATAGATTTTATTATAAGTGCCTATAACCCAATGTGTCCTCTGGTCCTTGCCCCTGGATTTCTCTCAGGCACTTCAAGTTATCGCCCCCTGAAGCAGATGCTGTGTATGCCCTGCCCATATCTGCTTAGCCCACCTGGGAAATCATATGTAGACAGTTCCCAGACACCTAGTCTCCCCAGCTGCTTCCTGAGTTTCTGAGGGGAAGGAGGTCTCTGGAGGAAGGAGTATGCTCCTGTACCCAGCAGGCCTGAAGTGGGTGGGAGAGGTTCTGTAACCTCCAACCAGTTAGAGACAGCAATTGGTGAATAAATACCCCAGCTTCCTCGCCCCTTGGAGGTCAATTCTTCTTTTTTTTTTTTTTTTTGTGAGGAAGATTAGCCCTGAGCTAACATCCAATGCCAATCCTCCTCTTTTTGCTGAGGAAGATTGGCCCTGGGCTAATATCCATGCCCATCTTCCTCTACTTTATATGGGACGCCACCACAGCATGGCTTGACAAGTGATGTGTTGGTCTGCGGCTGGGATCTGAACCCGTGAACTCTGGGCCACTGAAGCAGAGCACATGTACTTAACCACTACGCCACTGGGCTTGCCCCTGGAGGTCAATTCTGAGGTATGTTCTCCACAGTGTTTCAGAGGGTCCTCATTGGGATTGGGTTCCAATTGTTCACGGTGGTAACCTGTTAATCAACACACCATTTATTGGCTTTTCTCCTTTCTTTATCTCACTTCCCCACTCCTTTATGGCCATTACTGGGATCACCTCCCCCAGTAAAGCCCTTGCACCCCAATTGTCATCTTAGGGTCTGCTTTTGAAGGAACCCAAACTAAGGCATTCCTTAAACATAACTCATCATATTCCTCTAAAATATTGTTCTCTGTCCCCCATCTCAGGCATGAACCCAACTTCCATAACCAGAGATCCAAGTCTGGTCAATTCTTCTAGAAAAGCAGAGGTACAGATCCTCATCAACCTCCTCCCTTCTTATATCCAGCCCTGTGCTGAGCAATGCAACTCCAGGGATGAATCAGATCATTCCCTGCTCTTGAGGAGTCTTTAGGTAGTTGGGGAGATGACCTGTATGCAGGCAAGGACCACACAATGTGCTCAGAACTGTATCAGAAAAGTCAGAGAAGTCTTTCCTGAAGAGATGACATGGGCTGGGTATTGAAGGCTGAGTAGCAGTTGGCCATTTGGGAGGCAGGGAGGCACTCTAAGCAGAAGGCACAGCGTATGCAAAAGTTTGGCGGTATGAAAATATATGGGCTGGGCAGGCCAAGGGCATGGGAAGGAAATGTGACGCCACTCTAGATTTGGTACGGAGCAGCAAGGGGAAGAGCGGGTAGGAGTCGGGGCGAGGCGGGCTTGAACATCAGACTGAGGATCTTCTACTTCCTCCTGAGTGTGATGGGGAGCTATGGAGGGTTTCCGAGCAGGGGAGTGACACTGTCAGATTTGGGGTTGAAAATGATTCCTCTGGATTAGTCAGAACCAGGGGGCTGGCTCAGCCAGGCTCCCTAGGTCAAAGCTGAAGGTTAGGCATTTTAAGGGGGTGAAAGAAGTGATTTTTGAGCCTGGGGGACTGGGGAAGGGATGGGGGCTAAGGCCAAAAAGGGAGTGCTCCTTAACTCGAAAGGGTCTAGTTGCCCAGGACCAGCCTTCGGCCTTGATGAGAACTGATTCAGCAAAACAAAGCCGGGGAGGGGCAAGACCTGGGGGACTTGTCGGCTCACTGCCCCTGAGGTAACCATTAATCCTTCCCCTGGGGAAATCCAGGGGCTCATCCCTTGAGGGGCAGATCCTGGGCAGAATGGAGGAACACACAGAGGCAAGCTCAGCACCAGGGCTAGGGGACCAGAGGGTCCTAATCGACAATCCTGCTGATATTCTGGTCATTGCTGTTTATTTCCTGCTGGTCATTGGTGTCGGCTTATGGGTAAGAAGTCGAGGGGGTACTACTAGGGACCAGGCTTCTGGAGCCTGGGGGAAAAGTCTCAGGGAGACCCAGGTAGTGGTAGGGGCAGGATGTCTGCATCTTTGAGCGAGAAACCCGGGGCAGGAGGACAAGAAAGTCTTTTGATAGCCTCAGGGAGGCCGAGCCAACACTCATTCCTTGTCTTCCCAACTTTGGATCAGGCTAGTTGACGGGGTCAGTGGATTTTCATCAGAGACAACATTCTAAATGAGGTCTCTGTTCCTCTTTCTACATTATGGCTGACCAGAAGAAGCCCATAGGCCTGATCCAAGGCCCCCAGAAAAGTCAAGCTGAATCCAGCCACACTCTGGCTTGGGTAGTTGGACACTAGGTTAGGGACTGGGTCGCTATGGGTGCTTGGGAAGAGGTTGGGGGTGGGGTGGGGTGGGGTGTGAACCATTAGAGGAGCCGAGCACTGGTTAATCTTCAGCCTGAAACAAGGCTGAGGAATGTGTTGAGGAGGCTAATGAGGTCCAAAGATGTGCCCCAAACCCAGGTCTCCCTCCATTCCTGTCCCCCAGTCCATGTGGAGAACCAACAGAGGCACTGTCGGAGGCTACTTCCTGGCGGGACGAAGCATGGTGTGGTGGCCGGTGAGACACGCTGGGCTATGGAGTGGGAGGAGGCCTAGAGAAGCAGCCTGGCTCATCCCCATCTCTGGCCACCCAGGTTGGGGCCTCTCTCTTTGCCAGCAACATCGGCAGCGGCCACTTCGTGGGCCTGGCAGGGAGTGGTGCAGCAGGCGGCTTGGCTGTGGCTGGATTTGAGTGGAATGTGAGGCCCACTTTTGCCAACAACCTCCACCCCCAGTGGGAACCCCTGGAAGAGTCAGACCTGGGGAGGCTCCAGGCAGGGGGAATATGAACCTGGAGGTGGGACTTCCTAATTGGGTGGGGTTGGGCTTCGAGTGACGGTCACACCCCCAGCTTGGGGGCAAGGGGATGTAGCAGATGACCACTTTCAGGGCAGGGGTAGGGCCTGCTCCTGACTTGCTGTGTGAGCCTGGAACAGCTACTACCCTCTGTGGCCTTGATTTTCTCCTCT